AAATGTTTTGGAACTAGATAGAGGTGGGGGCTGCAGAACATTGTGAATGTACTAAATGCCACGGAATTATTCACTTAAAAATGATTAATATGTCATGTAAATTTAACCTCAATTTAAAAAAATTTATGGAACTATCAGAAAAATATAATTACAAAGTCTACTATACCTTCTGCTCCAGCTGAGACCATTATACACAGCCACCCCGGGTCGAACTCAGTTACAAGGAATTCCATTAGGACAACATAAGCCAGATCTAATAAGAGAATTGATTTTAAAACAGAGCCTGGAGACAAAGCCCGAAATCTCCTTCAGTATAAATGAAAGAAAGAATAAATAGCTAGAGATGTTGCTTGTTCATATGTACCCATCACTGATTTCCAACTAATATTATTTTTAGTTACATAATCAGCGATCTCTAAAGTCCTGAAAAACATTTAAATCATGCAAATGTATTTTTTTCTCAGAACCCAATAAATTAGTGTACCTGAAAGCATACTAATTTAAAATGAAAATAACTGAGGGGGCTTTGTAGGATCTTAAAATAGATCTCATATGTGAAATTGTATTTTTCTTTATAGAACATCCATTACTGGTTTTGCTGCTTGTTCAGATTTAATGTAGAGTTTAGACTGATGTCATTACTCCTTTTCCTATTTTCAAATATCTCACATGAATGTGCCATTGGCAAATGGGTGAGTGCTCCTGAATCCAGCCAAACAAAGGAAAGGACTGTGTTTATTACTTCACCATGTCCTGCTGCACATTCTTAAAGGCTGAAAAGAATGGTTACTATGTAGATCAAAAGGCTTCTCCCCTCTATCGATCTCCTGGAAGATGATTAGATTGCCCTCATGTTTTATGCTTATATTTCACAACCTTATTAGGTGGGGGTGGGGACTGGCTAAAATGTAGAAATTATTTTTTACAATCCTTTGAAACATACATAAACACATACATATATACCAGGACTGTAATAAAAGTCACACTGCAGACATTTAAAGGTTTATGTTTTTATAGCGCTTCAGTAATTCTGAATAAAACACAAAATAGAGAAAGCTCAGGCTATAAAGAAACATGAAGATTGATTTTGGAGGGGACTCCAGGCTTGCTTCATCTTAGATTAATTACTGTAGATCACCACATGGCTACTTATCTCCCTGATGAGGCAAGTGGTCTTTGTTCTGTGTAAGTCAGACACTTTATTCTAGTTCTATCACATGCTCTTAGAAGTTATACAACGCTCAACAGAGTGTAACCAAAATTGCTAGAATAAGTTCTCAAGTTTAGGAATAAAATCAGTAGCAGATTCTTGTCAATTTCTGATTATTGTTCAGGGCAAAAAAAACCAACAACACATTTTTCTGTAGACGTGCTTATTAAAACAAATTAACTCACTAAGGTTCATCTGCTATGCCATAAGTAACTTTCATCTCCCATGATTTCCTGGCATAAAGAGTCATACACAACATATGGAATTCCTGATGTCCCTTAGGGCTAGACAATCTTTTAACTTTATCTTAAGCCACACTCGAGTTCAATAAAATAAGTTCCTTTCTGACAAATGAAAATGTTTGTCCATGAACTCATCCAGTCTGCAAAGTAGAAGCAGCAGAGCCAAGATTAGAACTAGGGCGAAAGCAGAATCTAGGTCCAACTTCAGACCCTGTATCTCCACCTGTCTCCTGGTTATTCATAAAATGAATGAAGAGAGAAAACACATAAGAAAGGAGAAAAACAGTTTAAATCAATCTTTTAATACTAGTAGACCCCCTTTATTCATTAGGAAAGGAACTGAGCAAAGTAATCTAGGAAGTGACATAGGGACCATATTTGAGCTTGATAATAGACTATATGCCAACCACTGTTCTGAGTGCTTTACATATTCACTAATTATCATAGTAGGCCTTTGAATTAGATACCATTGTCCCCATTTACAGGTAAGAAAAACTAAAGCTGCCCAAGATCACATAGCTTGCAAGTAGCAAAGCTGGGAATCAAAGCTATGCAGTTTGGGTTCACGATTTATGTCCTTAACCACTATACAATTCTGCCTTTATTCCTTTTAGGGGAAAAAATTTTGTTCCTGGCAACCTTTGTCTTTTCCATCTTCTAATTTAAAATGTTATTCGACCAGCTTTTCTCTTGGGAAAATGTTTTCTTAGAAACATTAGAAGAGAAAAATATTTTCTCATTTAAATGAAAATAGTATCACACTAAGAACCCTTGTAAAGCCAGACACCATCAGAACAAAATCAAAACACAGTAAAGACCAAACAATAATATTTATTTTATGTAAGTAAGTACTTGGCAAGCTTTCAGGAGATCAATATGGCATTTCATTTGTGAATGTACTATTAATCTCTAGAGGTAATACAATTTAGATTTCATCAGTCCAGTTTTGAAGATAGGCCAATAATCAAACTCATGTGCACAAAACCATATTGAAAAGAAATAAAAACGAGAACCTACTCTTCCATGGTCTACTGAAGAAAACAAAGATGAATATTCGGAATCAGCATCTGCTTGAAACTTTTCCATTACCAGAGGTTTCTAAGATGCCGAAATACATCACAGAAGTTGCAACCATAAGCACTTTAAAGGGAAAAAAAAGCCCAATTAAAAAATTAGTCACATGTCTGATAAGCAATTATGACCTGATGACCTTACAAGAATATTCGTCTAGGATTGAATCACAGAGTATATACTTTGGGCAAGCTGAGTAAGACAAATGGGTCAGGAGTGTTTCTTCCAAGAATTCAAAGACAAAGTCATTATAGAAGAGTCACTGTGTGTGTAAGCCCTGTGTTAGCTTGGAATCCAGGAGAAAATGGTCAGAGACTGGATAAGAATGTATCTGAATCAGAAGGGAAAGGTAATGCAATAGCAATAGAGGGTAAGCTGAGTGAAGTCCAAGGTCAGAGGAAATGACTTGGGCTATACTAGAGAGAAAAGACTGGAATGACATTTAAGGGAAGAACTAGAAACCTGCCAAGCACGTATTTTGCCAGACTACAACTGCCGCAAGCTATCCCTCTGGGCATCTTTGCTTAGTGTCACGTTAGAGAAGGCTTAGACAGAAACAAGAAGATACCCAGGCTGTGCCAATCAAATCTCTCTTTAGCCATTGAAATTAGGCTCTGGAATCTGCACTTCATATATTCTTAGCTGTGCAGATTTAAGACCCGAGTTTCGTTTCCTCTTACATTCCTAGTAAAAATTCCATTTGAAAAAACATTAATCTTAACTAAACTAAATGCATGCTGCTTGTGGTGGCAGCAAGGCTAACCCAAGGCAACAGGATATTTGTTTTTGTTTGTGCCTTTTTATCATCTAAATCTTTGATCTGGTTAAAGACAGCTACCAAGTATTGCCTCCTCATCCTTAAGTTTTCGCTTCTCCAAGTTAATCAGAAGTAATTGATCAAATTTTTTTTTTTTTTTTTTTTTTTGGTTTCTGGGTCTCTCCAACTGTTCCCTATCCCATTGTTCTCACATTGGTCGGTACCTTTGAAGTATGCTCCCTCAGAACTGGACACAGATGCAGTGGAGATAAATATTAACTCCTTTGATCTGAAACTGTATTTCTGTTGATATAGCCCAAGATCACATTTAGAATTATAGATATGTAAACCAATCAGCATTTGTAGATTACTGGCTGGTAGTAATAGGGCAAATAGTGCTTTGAGATTCTTGTAAGTCAAGTCCAGGAGGGAGTGGGAAAAAAGGGTAGAGTTCTTTGACTCTTATTTACCAGTACCTTAATTTTTTATTAAGATTTTGAGAGATGTTTGTAACCCAAAGACTTTGAGTTCCTTGGAGGAACTCCCTTTAATTTTAATCTTGTCCACACAATGTCTAACAAGTGATAAATTCTTTGACTTGTTCATTGCAGAAGTTTATCAAATAATCACATCTAATATTCTAAATTTTTTTCCATGTTACTATAATTCATAACTTCAAAGCCCTTGGAATGTCTTGTCTTTGAATGCCTCAGACCTTGGGCCACACCAGATAACTTACAATAACAATGTGATTTATGGTGAATGCCTATTTTTCTATACCTGGGGCCCTGGTACATGCTGTATTAATCTGATCACTGTGCCAGTGTCGGGGTCTCAATTCCTGAGTCCATCACATGGGCACTGCATGCCCATGTGACTGTCCCAGTAAAAACCCTGGACACTAAGGCTCAGGTGAACTTGCCTGGTTGGCAATACTTTGACATGTCACGTATCACTGCTGGGAGAATTAAAGACTGTCCCTCCGTCTTCACTGGGAGAGGACTACTTGAAGTTTGTGCATGGTTTCTCCTGGATTCTGCCTTATACATCTTTTTGAAACCTTTGCTAATTTTAATCTGTATCCTTTCACTGTAATAGACTAGAACCATGAGTCCTTCTAGAGAACCACTGAACTTGAGGGTGACCTTGGAGATTCCTGACACATGTATGTCAATATGGGACAAGAATAAAAATACTAATTCGTGAAGAAACTTTAAGAGGCAAAGAATTCCAGTTACTATTCTGTCCATTGTCAAATGACAGCATCCAGTATAATCAGTTAAGGTAAAGACGTTTATAAAATATCTATTTGATGGCAAAATTTAACTTTGATTCAATACCTTGTCTCTTAGAGTTTTGGTTATTTTTTTTTTAAATCCACAATAAGCAACAACATTTCAAAATAGGTTAAAATAAATTTTTATTAAAAAATTTTATTAAATGTTAGATTTTTATACAACTCACAAATTCTTTAAAAAACAATTGCCAATCCTTACCCAATTAAAATTGTTTCTATGCAGATTTGGAAATTTTGCAGTGAAATAGGACCTACAAAATATTTTTTAGAAAACTATCACAATGCTAATCTTAGGCAAAATAATGCTTAAAACTGAAATCACTGTATGCGATTGCGGTCTCGAACATCCATATTCTTTATCTCAGGAATAAAGTAATGGAAAAATGAACATTAAACTGACTTATTGAGGAAACAATGAATAAGTATTCTGTAACCTTCTCAAAATTTTTATTACTTTCAGAAGCAGTATCATTACAAAGTATTAACAATCACAATATGTACTCAAATAAAATGAATGTTAATAAATTTTAATAAATTAACATTCACAGAATAAAAATATTGTTACAAAGAGGCACCCCTTGCTGTAAGATACGTTAAAGAAGTCTTTATTATTACACTGGTTTATGGTATGGGCCATAAACCCTGCAGGAGACAGTCTCTTCACACAGAATGATAATTCATCCCTTTTAGAAGTGAATAACATCTCTTTAGTAGTGTTGCTAGTAAAAAAAAATGAATCCAAGTTCAAAAAATGATGGCAACACACAAAAGTGGCTGATAGTTTTGGTCTTTGTCTGAGAGGTACAGTCTGTAGTTTAACAAAGACTGGCTTTGAATTTTCAGTTCAAAAGCATACTTCTTTCCCAAAAAGATGACTGCCCAACTGATACCATTCCAGAGAGCAGAATCCAAACTACCAACTTGAAAGGGATATGGCTCAATGAAGAAGGAAATAGTAACCGATTTACGTCAAAGATTAGGAAGCAAAATCAGTGTCAGAGTATTTGAAAATCACAAGGAATTTAAAAATTCAATGCTTTGAAAATTTCCCCCTGAGCTATGGATGCTTTTTATATACAGTCTCTAGTAAAATGGATGCATTTAATCAGTTCAAGTTGTACTTATACATGTTATAATGCTTGGTGTGAAAATAGATGTTATGTCTCAAACAGCAACTACGTTTTGTGGAAATCTTTGGTGGGACGCGATCCTGCAGAAGCCTCTTTATTTCTCTCCTCCTAACATGCCTAGAATTTTCAAGTAATTTTCAGAGGAGAAACCACAAGACCATAATGAAGGACCAGCAGACCATCCTGAAAAGGAAAAAAGTGTTTTGCAGTTATTGGAACATGAGCTATGTAAACAATCAAGTCAAAGATGGTTTCTTTTTCATAACCCAATACTAATGTGAAATTCTTTGCTTTAAAGAGAATAAAGGGTCCAAGACAAATATACCTGCTTATTTCACTTATCTCATCACCAAACACTCCTTGTCAATGTGCCTTTTTTATGACTCTCGGGAGATAATTCTGAAACTACTGGGTATCCATAGTTAGCCAAGGTTGTTTATGGCTAGACAGTTCCTCTTTTTTAAAAAAAAAACTAAGAGATATACCTTTCCTTCTTAACAGACTACTTAACAGACCATCCAGGCACTGAGCTTCCCTAAAAAAACACTCAGTCATCATATAGCATCATGGATCTGCTAAGAAATGAAACATTTATACACAGCGATGTCCTCAGTCAGGGGTTGTTGGACAACTTAACCCTATACTGTTTTTTTATCTGCTTTTTTGAGGTTCTATCTCCTCTCTTGATAGCGGGTCTTCATTCCTTGTGCTCTCACCAAGGCTGCATCCAACAAGCAATCCACCTTTTTAAGGAGCTATTTCTAATTTATGATGAACTAGAATACTAGCTAAAAGGAAGACTCACTGGGGAAGTGTGCCATGAGCAACTGGCCTACTTTGAGCAACATGGAGGAGTGATAGCATACATGCCCTGCATTTCCAATCCTGCTCTAGCTATTACTCTTTTTCTTCTTTTCTAAGCCTTTCCATGGCTCCACTTCCTCACTTCTCATTCACTACTCAACTCATTGCAATCTGGCCTCTCAGTTCTTGCAACTCCAGAGAAAACACACTGGAATTCTACAAAAAGGTTCACAAATTCGAATGCCCACAAGGGCCAGGAAAGCAACATAAATGAACATGTGAGTCAGGTATGTGAGCCAAAATGGAATACTGAGACCAGTGGTAAACTACAGAGCACATATCTAGCTAAAAAAATTTATTTTTTATTTTCATTTTTTATGGTAAAAATTTTATTTAATGTTTCAGGAAGCTGAGTGAAAGGTAAATGAGAAATCTTTACACTATTTTTGCAAGTCTGCAATTTCAAGATAAAAGGTTTCCAAATACAAATATAATATTTAAAACATCAAAAAAATTATTTAATTTTCATCTAAAAAAATAAAACAGAACTAGTCTTTTTGATATACTGAATAACATCCACTTTAAGACTATGGGATTCAAATCCACAGCCCTAAAATGTCACTTTTTAAAAAAAATGTTTATTGGGGTAACATTGGTTAATACAATTAAATAATTTTCAGGTGTACATTACAATTTGACATCTATATATTCTATTGTGTGTTTATCACTCAAAGTCCAGTTTCCTTCGGCTACCATATATTTGATCCCCTTTACCCACTTCACCCTCCTCCTACCCACATATATGTGACCACCTTTACCCCATCTACCTGCCCGCTTCTTCCATACCCCCTACCTTCTGGTCACCACAAGTCCATTGTCCATGTCCATGAGTCTCTGTTTGTCCTGTTCATTTGTTGCTTTTTAGATTTATATCCCACATAAGTGATATCATGTGAATTTCAACTTTTTCTGTCTGGCTTATTTCACGTAGCTTGATTATCTCGAGGTCCATCCATGTTGTCGCAAATGGCAGTATTTCATCTCTTCTTATGGCTGAGTA